GCTTGACTTGATATTAAACAACTTCCCTCTTCACGGGGACAGAGAGGACGAGGAAGTTCCCCGAGCCTCGGCAGTGCAAGGGATACATATTATGACTTGCTGGAATTTCATCATGGCGGCTACGATGTGTCATGAAGAGACAGGGAGAGACGGGATTGGATCATTTCAGGTCACGTGGCTTCGCCTCGCAAGTGCGCCTTCAATACCAGGAAATGTTCTCCGGCGCAAAGCATATGATCATACTATCCTGCGTTCTTTGTTTCTTTCGCGAATTGTTTTCTTTTGTAAGAATATTGTTGATAGTATTGATGTTCATCATGTTAGGGGAAGGGGACTGAGGATGGTAGTGATGAAGATAATGATAATGGTGATGATGATGATTATGAAAGGGGGAAATAAAAAGAAAACTAGAAGCACCGGGAGAGCGCATACCTCCGCCAAGGCAATAGGGTCACTGCTGCAATGAAAATATTCACACTTGAAGAATTACATTAAAATCACCCCATTCTCAAGTGCACTGGTTACGTCCGTGTTCCTGTTGTCTAGAACAAACAAACTAACCTCCTTGGCGGAGGTATGATTATAATGTTGATGACGATGGTGGCAATAAGGATAATGCCAAGGCAATAATGTCACTAATGCAATAACAATATTCACACTTGAAGAATTATATTTATAAAGGCACCTCTTTCTCAAAGTACACTGGTGACGTCCGTGTTTCCCTATCTTGCAATGCTGATGAATCCTTTAAAAATCCCGGATCTCCTAAGCATCTTAGTTGGGCTGCGACACACGTCTGGTAAAAACCCTGAAAATCTGTTTTAATCTTTTTATTTATCCTGCGCTGGATCCGGATCATGATTCAAAATTTGATGGCATGTAAGTTGGGTTAAAAACGCCTCTGGTAAAGAATCATAAAAAAATCTGTATATAACATTTTGTTATATTTCTAACCAAACAACCAACGATGCCAAAAACATATTCTCCTTGGTGGTGGTAGAAATAGTAAAGGATAAACACGGAGGAGGAAGCATGATACTTTGTCGCAGTGCCCGCCGCCGTCAGTCTTCCCCATACTCGTCCTCGTCGCTGCATTAAGGGGAATGAAAAACAAAATGAAGTGAGATGTTTTGTTCGTGCCAAACGAGGTGCCATCGCCCAGGGCCTTGCGGCGGCCTTGCATTAGAGCGGGACTACCGTTTCCTCCGTCTCCATCCCACCCCGCCCCCGCTCTCTCATCCCTTCTACATCTTTCCCTCTCCGCTCCGCCGCTCCTCTCGTCAGGAACACCTTGAAAGAGGCCAGGGCGCCAGATCGCTTATCTCCCCGGTATTAGACAATGCCATTGCGTCAACGTGTATCCACTTTGTCTTACCAGGTTAGGAGAGGCCACCTGTCTGTCGCCGCGCTTCCCTCCGCCAACCACAATCACAGCTCACGCTCCCCACAGACTTGCAAGCACTCGTACAGACTTTCCCCCGTCAGCACTGCAATCTGTGTCTCCAAATGCCCTTGTGGTACGCTGGTTAAAGAATTAAGAGCCGGGATTTCGAATGCCCCGTGGATTGGTAGACTGCGGTATCTTGTGGTTGGCTTGCGTTTCGAGATTATGAGCGAGGCATTTCTGTCTCTGTAGATTGAGAAGGATGAATGACAAGTTTTCTTTAGCATAAATTATGCACATTTACGTATCCTTGTGGCGTGATTGTATTCGAAGATTTTATCTGGAAATTAGCAGATCAGTGTTAAATAGCTTTCTCTCTCTCTCCCCCCCCTCTCTCTCTCTCTCTCCTCTCTCTCTCTCTCTCTCTCTCTCTCTCTCTCTCTCTCTCTCTCTCTCTCTCTCTCTCTCTCTCTCTCTCTCTCTCTCTCTCTCTCTCTCTCTCTCTCTCTCTCTCTCCCTCATTTCCTCACTATTTCACTCATTCACAGGGTGAACTAAAGGCTACATTACCTCAAAATCCTGAGTCAGACAGCACTTCATGTGCATCACCTAACTACCTAAGAATTGTCTAGCTCAGCCGACCGCCTTCCATGAACTTGCCTCGCCGTCACAACACGTGACTCAAGTATCTCAGCAACTCGAAAACAACCTTCAACAACACTAGGTCTGAGTGTAAAAAAGGGACATATCCCTTCCCCTGGTACCTCTTTCGTTCTTGAGTTTTCTATTTATTATTATTATTTTTTTAGGGGGGGGGGTAAGTTTTATAGGCTTATGCTTTGAATTGCCTCATCCAGCATAGGTTATTGAAGGGTGAATTTTTGAGAGATCTTTTGCATTTTTTTAGATGTTGGAAATAGTAGGTTTATCTGGAGGTTGGTGTGGATACTTGCAGTTGTTATTGCATTTTTTCTTTTTGTTTACGAAAGTTATGGATGCTGGTGTGGATAGAGTGGGGGCCTGGGATGCAGTTAGAGAAGCAGCTACTGTGCTGTCTCTGCTGGCGAGGCGGGGAGGCCAAGCCAAGCCGCGGCGCGTGATGGCGATCGAGGCCAACGTGTGGCCAGGCAGCCGACGTGCATGATGAGGCTTGACCACGCCGCTGCGCCACACGAGCGCTGTTGCCTCCGCGTCGCATCAGCTGCAGATTTATAATGGGTTATTTTGCGGTTCACAATGGCATGGAGGGAAATTGTGATAGTAGTTATAAGTCTCATAAGCCACATGTTCACAGATAGCTTTCTATGCAAGTATTTAATAATGAGAAAAAAGAGGAATGTTTTCCACTTGTAACGAGGTTTATGTGTGCTCCTTCTAGCACGGGAGTTACCAAGCAGAATTAATTAACTGAATATTCATTACTCACGTATTCAGTCAGACATCTATATATTGATTTCCCTTTTACATCTTTTTCTATCCGACAGTATTCAGCTGCTAGTTAGCCTCGATTTTTATTCTTCATGACGATAACACCCTTACTTTGACCTCTATTCAGTCGCTCCATCTTCTGTCTGCTCCTCTCTCGCATCCTTCCTCCTCCATCATTTTGGCAATATTTTTTAGCATGTCGAGATGACGCAATTCTGAGAAGCGCGTGATCGTTGCGCCTTTCAGTGTTGGTGCATTTTAAGACCAGAAGCGGCAAGGGCGGCGCCGCACGGGAGGGTGGGAATGAGAGGGAAATCAGTGAGAGTGTCTGTTGGAGGAAGAAAGGTCAGGGGGTTTGCCTGTACAGATGAACCATTGTCCGACCTGCGTACGGGGTTTGCCAAAATACAGCTTCGCTTTATTTACAACAGCAGTGTAGGATGAAAAGCGAGATATAAACAAAATATACCAGTGAAAGGGGTGTAACACCATTTAAACCTCGCCGCACGGAAAGACGTAGTGCAAGAGTTGACTGAGAACTTTTGCGTAAAAAGGATGTCTTTCTGTTGCGTCATGTTACAACTGATGTCGACCCATGGCGTCACGGAGACGGAGTGTCACTGCCTCTGACAAAAACGGCCCTGCGTCGGTGCGGCTGATGGGTCAACGTGGCAGTAGTTGCAGGAACATCAGTCTTCTCCAACACTTTTAAACAATTGCGCCAACTTTAGGGTCGATGCATCAGCGTGAAGTGTGGAGCAAGTTCACAAGGCTGAGGGAACAGGGCGTCAGGTAGGTCATTGCTCTGCCATCTCGGCCGCGCTGTGGCAGGGAATGACACGGGATGTTACAGGCTGGCGCGGAGGGATACGGTTGCTGCGGCGCCTTCGCCCGGGCGTCCGCTCGCCTCACGTTCCTCCTCCTCTTCTCTTCTTTTGCCTGATTTCTATGTATTTGTATTTATTTTCTCTTCTCAGCGTCTCTCTTTTCATGTGGAATATTGCATATCTTTTTATGCAGGTTTAGTGGTCCTTCGGTCCCCATGACCCCTACACTCTGACAAGTGCGTCATCAAGGACTTATAAAGCAGCACTATTTGGGATGGGATATCCTGTCTCAGCAGAAGGGAAACCATTCCAAGCAATTTAAGAACGTATTAACTAGGCAGCTTCTGGCAAATAAACTCAGTTACACGCGCACACACGTGTGCATGTAAACACATCTACAGCCACACATGCGCACATACTCCAAGACTGACATACTGAACATACAAGCAGAAACACTCGCTCACAGGCACGCCACAGTCAGCCCAAATAAGCAAACCGACGCCGCTCTTCCCCGAATCCCAGTTTTCCTCCAGAGCCTCGCGGTCGTGTCCCTTTGTGCGGGCATACCTGGGCCGAAGCGCCATTCCTCCCGACCTTCTTGCAGGGCGGTTCGGGCTTTTGAAAGACGGGAAGTCGGTGTGACGTTACGGGGCGTCGGGGGTTCAGGGTCGGCGGCTGCGGTTGTTCCAGCGAGTGACAAAAGAGGATCGCCGTGCGCCCCAGGTCCTCCGCCCAGCCTCAACCCCCCTCCCCTTTCCCCTTCTACCCCCCCTATCCCCTCCTTCCCTCCCTTGCTCTTTCTTTTTTCCACCTGCGCTTATTAAGTAACCTCACCCGGTATTGTTCTTTTTCTTTCTCTCGTTCTTTCTTTCTTTCTTTCTCGCCGTGCTGTGTATTCCGGCATTTCCTTTGTTGTTGTTATTGTTACAATGGTTAGGCGTGAGATTGTTTCTTGTTGCTGTTATGCAACTGCAGTAGTAACTCCATTTTTTATTTCTTCATAATTTTACTATTTTGCCATTACTACTGCTGCTGTTGCTGCCGCCACTACTACTATACAGCAACATCATCATCATCATCATCATCATCATCATCATCATCATCATCATCATCATCATCATCATCATCATCATCATCATCATCATCATCATCATCATCATCAGCAGCAGCAGCAGCAGCAGCAGCAGCAGCAACGGCAACAGCAACAGCAACAGCAACAACAACAACAACAACAACAACAAAATCATCAACAACATCAAATCACCACATCAACAACATCAAGCATCAACATCAGCATCAATCAGCATCAGCATCAGCATCAGCATCAGCACATCAACACATCAACATCAACATCATCAACATCAATCATCAACAACAACAACAACAACAACAACAACAACAACAACAACAACAACACACAACAACAACAAACAACAACAACAAACAACAACAACATCAACAATAGCAGCAACAATAGCAGCAACAAAAACAGCAACAACAACAACCCGTACTACCACTACTAATTGTGATAATAATGATAATCACAAGATGAGAATGATTGTAGTAATAATATCTATGGCAATATTATGAATGATAATAGCATTGACATTTTTAATGGTAATGATGATGAGACGGATGATAATGACAATTATAAAACTTATTGTTGCTCATGCTAATTATTTACAGCAATGAAATAAATTGTTAGTGTTCTTATATCTATATCTATACATATTTATCTATTTCATATGTGTGTGTGTGTGTGTGTGTGTGTGTGTGTGTGTGTGTGTGTGTGTGTGTGTGTGTGTGTGTGTGTGTGTGTGTGTGTGTGTGTGTGGGTGTGTGTTAATGTTACTGTTAGTGTTAGTGTTAATGTTTGTTTGTGCGTGTTTATGTATGTATGTATGTATATATGTAAATATGTATATGTTTATCAGTATCATTAGTTGTGTCCACATGTATATAAATCTAGACCTATTTACCAATTTATTTATACACACGTTTGTCAGTCAGTCAGTCTGTTTCTACACCTGTCGGTCTGCACATGCGTTTGCGAGACAGGTAATCAGGAAATTAGCTTTTGTGCTTGCGTGTCAGTCCACTCGCCTATATTATTATTACCTCACCTGATTATCGTTATTGTTGTTGTTGATGCTGTTATTGTTATTGTTACCGTTGCTGTTATGGATTGTAGATTTGGATTATTGTTATTATTATGATTGTTGCTTTCGGTGTTGTTCATGTTCTCCTTCAAGTTGTTGTTATTGTTAATTGTTATCATTATTGTCATTACTATTTCTGCAACCATTATCATCATTATCACTAACACCACTGTTATCATAATTCTAACATTTTAAATTCTTCAACTTCCTCGCCCTCTCGCAACCACTCTTCAGGTATCACGTTTACATTTTTTTCCGCATTGGCCAGTGCTGTTCGGTAAATAAATGTCAGAGCTTAAGGACATTACCAGATACGGGAAACTGGGCGCCCATGGTCCCTTATTTGGAACAGGTCCGCCGTCATGGCTAAATTTACCCGCATCCGGTGCCGGTCTGCGTGCATGACACTTTCGCTGGGGTCTTTCTCTCGCGCCGTGTGGGCTGCCTCGGTGTTGTTGATTGATTGATTTTTTTTGTTATTGTTTTTGTTATTAATGTTTGTGTTATTTTTGTTGTTGTTTTTATTGTTATTATTGCCATTGTTATTGTTATTAGTATTCGTATTAGTATTGTTATTGTTATTGTTATTGTTATATTTGCTATTATCTTTATCATTATCATTATCATTACCCTTATCATCATCATCATCATCATCATCATCATCATCATCATCATCATCATCATCATCATCATCATCATCATCATCATCATCATCATCATCATCATCATCGTCATCGTCATCGTCATCGTCATCGTCATCATCATTACTATTATTATTACTATTATTAATACTCTTACTCTTCCTATTATTATTATTATTATTATTATTATTATTATTATTATTTTATTATTATTATTTTAATATTATTATTACCTATTATATTATTGTTATTATTATTATTATTACTGTTATTATTATTATTGACCATCATCATCATAATCATGTTATGATCATGGCATCATTATTATTGTTGTTTTGTTATTAGTATTACTATTGGCATTATTGTTTATATTTTTTGTTGACGAATTAATGGTGATGACAAACGTTTTTAGGCAGGCTGCTTCGAGATGTCTTTGTTCGAGCCATAGCGCAAGACAGGGAGGGGTGGGGGTGGGGTGGGGGTTTATTTGTAGGTTCGCTGTTGTATTCGGTTGTTGTTATTTTTGTTGTGATTATTGTCGCTGTTTGTGTTTGTTATTGGTATAATCTTTTTACGTATTTGAATTTTTGTAATGATATTGTCAATGATGGTGTTGATGATTATGATGATGATTATGACTATCATCATCATCATCATCATCATCATTTATTGTTGCAATAGTCTTCATTATTGTCATGATTACTTCTGTTATTGCAGTTGTTGTCATTCTTGGTATATGTCAGTACTTTAGTCTCCGTTGCTTCCGCTCCTACAAAGGTGTGCCACAGGTTTCGAAAGGTGAATCATGTTCTTTGTTATTTTTCTGTATATCAGATACAATTTGTTCAGATCTTTTTTCAATGAGGTATATAAGCCTAGTCATTTTTTTTTTTTAGATATTATTGATAATCGTGTTGACAACAATGGTACTAATATTAATGGCAGCATTTTCACTTTTATTTTCATTTATGGAGTGAAGATAGAGGAGAATATCAAGTTTGAAGTAAATACAACGGTACTGAAGTTACTATTAAGTATAATTATGTTGAATTACAATAACATATAATGAATGCTTTGGCAGTGAGACCTTCATTCTTCATAGAAAACATTAATTTACGAATGATTCCAAACATTTCGCACGATAATGAAGAAAGAGACCGCAATATTCTGTAAAAGGCGACGTAGGATTGGCCTCTCCCCCTTGTTGCGTCCTGGAGGCGTTCCCCGAATGGCACAACAAAGTAATTGTTATGTGTTTGTACCGCAGAGAGTGACGGGTCCTTGCGAGAGGGTTAAGAGGCAGGTGCTAATGAGGAAGTTCGACACAGGGCACTAGGGCCTCGCCCAGGTATGTCCCTCCTATTCGCAGACACGCGAACAGGGCCGGGAAACGAAAGGGAGCGTGTTCTGTGTCAACGCCGGGCGCGTTTCACGGAGCAGGCGCCTGTGATGACGAAGTGGAAAGATTGTTTCATGGAGATGTGACGTCTTACATTTTTTACTCGGGTGTTATTGTTCCTTGCATGGAGTCCTCCCCGCCCCTCGCGTTTATGGCGCCTTCGTAAATTCTTACAGAGCGTTCCCATTCAACTACCGACGCTGAAGTCTCTTTATTCTTTATCATTTCTGTTACAGCGAGAGCCCGTGGAAATATATTGCCCCGCATGTCACAAAGACAGTAACTCAGAGCCGGTCCAAATACACGAAGAATACTAATGAGGCAGTGCTTGGAAAACTTATTTCTTGTCGCACTAACGTATCCGGTTTGTTATATTTATACATAAACTCATGCATGAAAGTGAGTTTAGGAAACCGACCGCTTCGATTCGGTAAGGAAAGTGTATGCAACGGCAGCTTTGCAAGTGAGAGTGGCTTTAGTAGTCAGTTCGTGTGGTTGCATTTACTTAATGTGTCACACATGCATGATGTATGAAGTTGTTGCTAAAGCTCGAGTTGCTTTAGTTGCAGAAAGATAAAGGAAATGGCGTTTCACAAGAGCCACAGTGTTTAAGCACTCCCCTGTCTAGGGTAGATTTATTATTCTCAAAAGGGCGCGAGGTGTGCGGTAAGTGAAAACGATGCAGATTATGTTGTTTCACAAACCGGGCACCGCGGGAAATTGGCACACAGCATTGCAAAAGATATCCTGGTACAGTTTCATCTCAAAAGAGAAATTAAATAACGTTCTCTTCCTTCTTCTCTCCTTGCAGATGACACCTATATGTACGATGACGACGTCGGCGACGGCGTGGAGGCGGGCGCGTGCGTGGGCGCCGCCCAGGGGCGGCCGGGGCCCCCGCACCACTGGTACGACGAGCCGCCCTACGAGTCCGACCCCGAAGACTTTCTCATCGGCAAGGACGCTTACAGGTGAGCCGAGAAGGACACGGAGGATGTCTGTGTCGCCACTCGTGCGCTTAGAAGAATATTTCTGGTAAAGATAGGCCTCCTCTCTCTTACTGGGTCTCCGTAGGTTCAGTAAACGCGAATTTGAAAGGTTTGTATGAGCATTGCAGCTTCTGTAATTACATATGCAGGCCAGTGTGCTGAAAATATTGTCTGCAGCTTTGCATGACACGAGACGCGTCTGAGCGAAGAAGGAAAAGAGTGAAATTGTCCCTCGCCCCGCCCCTTTCAACGCCCTCCCGTTTCCTCACTCTCACTCCCTCTCTCTCCTCACTCACTGTCTCCCACCCTCCTTTCCTCCCTCTCTCCCTCCCACCATCCATCCGTCCAGCCATTAATCCATCCAACTTTTCATCTATCCGTCCCTACATCCGCTCATCCACTCACCCATCCATTACTTGATTATTACATTAATTGATCCATCCGTCCATCAGTCAATCCATCCATCCATCCAACTTTTCATCTATCCCTCCCTCCATTAATTGATTAGTAAATTAACTAATTGACCCATCCATCCATCCATCCACTCATCCATCCATCTACTCATCCATCCTTCTATCCTACTTCCTCCTCCTCTCCTTTCCCCTCCTGAAGCCTTCCCTCCCTTTTTCATCCTTCTCGTGACCGTCCCTTTTCACCGTGACTTCCATTTTTGGTCATGTTAACGTTGTGCATTGCAGAGACCACTAATGCTGTACACTCTCCTTGGTCTTGTACACGAAAAAAAACTTGTATTGAGTCGAATCTGAGACCGAATAAGAGCATCAGAATTAATTTGTCAAATTCAGAACTTCCGAAATCATATCCTAGAATTAGCCGAGCGTCCGCTAATGTCAGTGTAGTGAGCTTGCTTCTTTAAATTCCATTATTTTTTATTTTATTTTTATTATCATTTATTTACCAAACGAGTCTGAAAGCTTTACAAACGGCCTCCCTCCTCGCGATGGCCTGGAGACCGGCCCTCCTGCCGCAGTGGCTCAGGCGATGATCATGGCGATACGAGGGCGAATGTGCAGTCTCCATGCACGTCCCCGGCGCCCGCGGGGTCCGTGTTCAAGCCCGACGCCTGCCTATCTATCTCGTTTTTCCTGTTTTGTTGCCAACGCTCCCCGCCGCCCGCCCGCCCGACCGCGCCACTCGCTGCCCCGCCACTCACCTCCTACAGCCTCTTCATTTTTTCAGTGACTTGATGGCATTCTTCACTTCTCTGGGAGCGGGCGACGTCTATAGCTCGCCGCTGGACGGAGAAAGGTTGTTACGCGCCCATTTTATCTGCCTGACATGCAACATGATGTAGATCAGTGCATCGATGTTTTTTTTTTATTCCTCAGAGGCAGTCAGTTTTCTCTCGGCCATGTTCTGTTCCTTCTGTCTGCTATGACTATTATTCTTGCTTGAGGCTTATTTTTATGCTCTCTGCTCGCCTGTTTAGAGTTTATTCGTCTCTGTTATTATTTTGGAAGCTGTTATTGTGACTGTTACAATCACGTTATGTTTTCAGATGATATCGTCGTGGTCAGCACTGCTTTCGTTTGTATGTTTGTGCGATTATATGTTTATGCAATTTTATTGTTGCTGCCGCTATTGAATTCACCACAGTGATCACCACCACCACCATTCATCTCCCACGACCGATCACCTATCACTCACCCACCACCCATCACCCACCACCCACCTTCACCGTCGTCATCACCAGCATCGTCATCACCTCAACCTCCGCCACTTTTGCTACTGTGTTTTTTTTTGTCAATTTAATAGATCATCCCCAATACCAGTCTTCATCGCCAGCAAAGCCCTCTCCATCATGACTCTCACCTTCACCCGTAAATCTTCGCCGACCTCGTGCATCCTTGACCACTCTTTCTCTGAGCTTTAGGCTTGACTTAATGAAGCACCTTGCAAGCATGTGCGTTTGGCTTGTTGCTCCTCTCAGTTTCTTTGCTCTAATTGTGAGACTTGTCCGATGTGAGACTCTTATTAGCTTGGTGACTGTTCGGATTATTCGGATGCTACTAATTAAGCCACTAATTACCGGTGTGTACCCGTTGGGATCTCGCAGGTAACCGTTTCGAAGCGGTCAAGGTGTTCGGATCGATTGGGGTCGGGGATCCTTCAAGGGCTCCGAGCCAGTGGCCTGTCGATTGGGCAAGGGACGCTCCTCCGCCTTTGTCTTTCGGAGCTGGAATCTTGCTCGTTTGTGCTCAGGGTCATTTGCTTCGCGCAGGTTGCGAACACGTTCACTTACACACAAGCACTCACTCACACCCATGGACATATTCGTAACCGTACACTCACTCTAACTCATGCGCACACTCACACCTGTGTACTCGGTCATAACCATGTACAATCACCTGTGCGCTCATTCGTAAGCTTGCAAGCTTTGCGCAACTCATCACATCTGTGTTGCACATTCATTGCCATGCACACCCGTGCACATACGTTCAGGTACTCGTACTGTACACGCTCTTACCGTTGCACTCACACCCATGCACACATTCACACCAATATACACACTCACATCCATGCACACATTCACACCAATATACACACTCACACCCATGCCCACACACTCGTGCCACACGCACATGCACTCACACAAACCCATACACGCACACACGCTATCAGTTTCCCTCTTGTAGCTTCCTCACGCAATCTTACGCATAAACTCATCCCGCACTCTATATCAGTTCCTCTTGCTCCTGATTTTCTCTCTTTTGCTTGTTTAGTGCACACATTCTTTAAAACAAATACCAAAATAGGAACAACCGAGTGAAAAAGAGATCCATTTTTTTCTGAATATAGGAGTTTGGGCTTTTCTGTTCGTCTTGTTTGCTGTCGATACTCCTGCTCAGACACGCACTTCTGGTCCTGGATTGGCCGGAGATCCCTTTTCTTGGGATCTGGTGGATGAATGGATGGATGGAGATGTGGATGATGGGTGGGTGGGTGGGTAGATGGATGGATGGATGGATGTGTGGATGTGTGGGTTGGTGGGTGGGTAGGCGGGTTGGTGGTAGGGTGGATAGACGGATGGATGGATGGATGGATAGGTGGGTGGGTGGATGGTTGGTTGGTATGGTGAATGGGTAGGTAGGTGGATGGGTGGGTGGTAAGGTGGGTGAATGGATAGATGGATGGATGGGTGCGTGGGTGGGTGGGATGGGTGCGTTGGTGGGTGGATGGATGGGTAGGTGGGTTCCTGGATAGATGAGTGAATGAGTGAATGAATGAAAAGAGATAGATAGAATGGGAGGGTGGATGGATGGAGAGCTGTTCTTGGATAGGAAGTTTCCAGGTATTTTGCTTACTTCACGTTAACTTGGACGCAGGGGTCACACTCCCCTTTATAGGAAGTCCGTGTCGCTTTTCCACACACAATGGGTAAACCAAAGCCATGTTTTTAAAAAAGAAATGCCATGATATAAACAAATCTTGACTTTTGCTCCAAATTTGGCGCATTATTGTGCCAAGTTCGGGGCAGACAAATCTTGGTAGATGGAAATGTCAAGGTTGAAAGATTGCAAATAGCTATTACTGATAGTCAGTGCTTTCGTCATCGTCGGCTTAAAGTAGTTGGTATTGCTGTTATAGAGTAATGGTGTTTGTGTTTAGTGTTGCTGATGTTGTTTTTAGGTTAAAAAAAATATAACGGTTGCGTAAGATTAGAACGATGTTAGTGGCAATTGCTAATAGTTATGAAGAGTGATAGAGAAGAGTGTTTTGATTATCAACGTCATCGTTATCATCACTATCGTCATCGCCATCATCACCACCATCATCATCATCATCATCATCGTCGTCGTCGTCGTCGTCGTCGTCGCATCATCATCATCATCATCATCATCATCATCATCATCATCATCATCATCATCATCATCATCATCATCATCATCATCATCATCATCGGAATTGTTATTATTATTATTAGGAGTTATAGTGTTATCAAATTACCATCTATTACTTTTATCTACATTAACATTTTTGCTGATGTTATTGGTGCTTTTGCTATTGGGATGCAAAGGTAATTATCATCACCAGCACTATCACCATCCTCCTCTTGTTCTTGTTGTTGTTCTACAATTCTTCCTCCTCGTCCTCCCCTCCTCCTCCTCCTACCCTCCTGCTGCTTGCTGCTCCTCCTCCTCCTCCTCCTCCCCCTCCTCCTCCTCCTCCTCCTCCCCTCTCCTCCTCCTCCTCCTCCTCCTCCTCCTCCTCCTCCTCCTCCTCCTCCCCTCCTCTCCTCCTCCTCCTCCTCCTCCTCCTCCTCCTACCCTCCCCCTCCTCCTCCTCCTCCTACCTCCTCCTCCTCCTCCTCCCTCCTCTCCTCCTCCTACCTCCTCCTCCTCCTCTCCTCCTCTACCCTCCCCCTCCTCCCTCCCCTACCTCTCCCCTCCTCCTCCCCCTCCTCCTCCCCCTCCTCCTCCTCCCCCTCCTCCTCCCCCTCCTCCTCCTCCCTCCTCCCCTCCTCCTCCTCCTCTCCTCCCCTCCTCCCCCTCCTCCTCCTCTCCTCCTCCTCCTCCTCCTCCTCCTCCTCCCTCCTCCTCCTCCTTGCTGCTGCTGCTCCTCCTCCCCTCCTCCTCCTCCTCCTCCTCCTCCTCCTCCTCCGCTCCTCCTCCTCCTCCTCCTCCTCCTCCTCCTCCTTCCTCCTTTTACCCTCCCCTCCTCTCCTCCTACTCTCCATCCACTCCTCCTCCTTTTACCATTCCCTCCTCCTCCTCCTACCTCCCTCCCCCTCCTGCTGTTTCTGCTGCTCCTCCTCCTCTCCCCTACCACCTTCTCCTCCCCCACCTTCCCCCTCTTTCCCCTACCTCCTCTCCTCCCCTAACCTCCCGCTCCTCTCTATATCCTCCTCCTTCTACCCCCACCTTCCTCCTCCTCCTTTTCTTATCCCTCGTCCCCCACCCCTCCCCTCCTCTTTTTCCTCCTCTCCCTCCCCTCCTCTTTCCCCATCCTCCTCTTTCCTTATAATTCCTCCTACTCCCAACCCTCCTCCTCCTCTTCTCTTCCTCCTTTTTTTTCTCATCCTCCCTTACCGTTCCTCTTCCTCCTCCTTCATCGTCATCATGATACCAAATGTTATTATTAATTCTTCTTATTATTATTATATTATTATTAATTTATATATTATCATCATCATCATCATCATCATCATCATCATCATCATCATCATCATCATCATCATCATCATATTATTATTATTATTATTATTATTATTATTATTATTATTATTATTATTATTATTATTATTATTATTATTATTATTATTATTATTACTGTCATTATCATTGTTATTCTTATTGCTCTTATTATTATCTCATCATTATCTCTTTTATTCTTATGTTGTAATTATGATATTAGCACTGATGATGTCATTGTGGTGCTTTTGGTATTGTTTTGATACTGTGAATGATGATTATTGTTACTGCACTGCTACTGCTCTTGATTATTGATAATCATCATGATCATCATCGCTACCATTACTCTTGTTATTATTCAAATTATTACAACGTAATTATTATCTTTGTTGTTGTTATAGAATATGTTGTGAAACTGATGTAACTCTCAGTTGATATCGATAATGAGCGTGATGGTAATGATGGTTTGGCGAGAGGCGCCCGTGCTGCCCCTTGACTGACGTCGCCTGTGTCCCCAGAGAGCCGTACGTGAGCAGCCCGCGCCTCGCCCTCAAGGACGAGGACATCATCTCCCTGCGGACGGCCGGCGACATCTCAGTGCCTCGGGAGGTGAGCAAGACCGCCCACACCCACTGGCCCGGGGGCGGCTCGCACTACGCCTTCCGCAGCCCCACCCACGCCCCCCGCGGTGGCCCCACTCACACCCACTGGGCGGAACCAATTTACCAGAGTGGGCGGTGTGTGGCCACGTACGCCCAGCCCGTGTATGACAACGTGCGGTCGGCGGGCGTGCTGGCCACGGAGCGGGCGGGGCAGCTGCGAGTGGGGCGGCGGGAGCCCGAGTACCACAACGTGGAGGCGCTGCGGCCGGGGGGCGGCCGACGGGGGCGGCGACCCCTCCTGCGGGAGAGCGGCGGAGACTACGCCTCGGACGTGCATAGCGTCACGTCGCGACTCTCCAACGTGTCCGTGGAGACTAACCGCTCCGACCCGACCGACCTGCGCCTCTCCAAGTACACG